TAATGTCATGATTAGTTCAATGGGTTAATGGTGTAGGAGTTACAACTTTTTAAACTCCTTTATTATAAAAACCAAAGGCTCTCTCATTTTGTTTGGTGTGTGCCTTGCTTGCGTGAGGAAGAGAGAAAAAAAAGAAAACACTTTATTATTTTCTTTTAGAGAGAGCTCTTGATTTTCCGGCCAATTTTTCCGGCAACCCCTTTAAAGTTTTTGGTCGTCAACGTTCCTACGTTGTTCTTGTTCGTTGGTGTGTGGTTGGTCCGTACAATCTCCACACACGATAGCGGTTTTATCCTGGGAGGAGAGTGCCCACGTTTTCCGGTACGGTAGGCGGGCACTACTACCTTAAGGACAGCTCCGGCGACTCCGCTGTCCTTCCACGGTGTTGTGTTTTTGCAGGTTCAGTTCATAAAGACCTCGCTGCATTCTGTCCTAGTGCATAATGTCCTCGCAACCCAGTGCATAATGTCCTCGCAGCCCTGTGCATAACGTCCTTTGCTTGCTGTCCAGTGCTTAAAGACCTCGCTGCCCAGTGCTTAAAGACCTCGCTGTCCAGTGCTTAACGTCCTCACTGTCCAATCCTTAATGTCCTCGTACAACAAGGCCGTTTGAAGATATAGCAATTTTTCTCAACTTTGTTTATTTTGTAATATTTTGAATAAATTATAAATTCAGAATTTTATTTATTTTTATTGTCGGGGTCGTTCATCTTCCCCGTCCGTTGTAATCCGTACAAAAATTGTAACAAAGATTTAGGGTTCTTCCATGATAAGTGGTAAATAATAGCCAACATATATGTTGGTATAGTTTCGTAAATTTGGATTGCTCATTGCCAATGTTGATTAATGATATCAACCAAGAGAGTGTGAGTTTGTGTTTCTCTTAGTAAGCCCTTGCTAAGAAGGTGATGGTATATTCTTTTTCTCCAGAGACTTGCGTTGGAGGAGCCCAACACAAAATGGATCAACAAGTTGATGTCATGATCCTAGCAATTATAATTGGTTTAAGATGGCAATCAGGATTTGAGCTGCATTTCTCTATTGGTTGATTTTGCTCTTACCCTCCCAAAGACAGGATATTGGGGGTAATGCAAGGCTGATTTATAATAACATTTTCATGCATGATGTAAGATATCTAAAGGATGTGGCCACATTTTGACTACACTCAACCTTGCAAAAATTGAGTTCAAATACTATGTCAGTAAATGGGGAAGAGTTGATTATAAGACAAAGATGCTGCCTCGTATGGTTCGCGGAGTGAATGTGCTATGTCATTTGCTGAAAGAGGATGACAAGACCGTCATGGAGGGTGTATGAAGAATCTTTCCGAAGTTTGTTATGAAGATTAAACACGCCTCAATGCTAGCACATTGCAATCGATGAGTTCAATAAGGGAGAACGCTTTTGTTGAAGGAAGTGTGTACATATGTGAGAGGATTACTGTGATGGTTGGAGTGAATTTAGATTGTTCGTTGTCGATTGATGATGATATCAACCAAGGTGGACCTAACAATTCAATAGCATGATCTTACCAACAATGTCAGCAATAGAAAAACATAAATCTTACAATAAGACAGATCATGCCCTCAAATTGTTGGGCCCACCTTGTCTTGGCCTCCTTAAACACTGGTCTATAGAGAAGAGAATAGACCATCACCTTTTTAGTAAAGACGTACTAGGAGAAACACGAAGTGATACTCTCTTTGTTGATATCATTATCAATCGACATTGACAACGAACAATCTAAATTCACTCCAAGAGTCACAATAAGAAATATTTGCACTAAATAACACTAAAACTTAAGTCATTTCTCTAAATAACACTTAAATTATTTTATTCCCTAAATAGCACTTAATAATGTCCATAATGTCCAGTGATGACAAATATTTACTTGAATGATGACTAATGCATAATGACTAAAAGTGCTACATTGGGAAGAAAAACACATGTGGTGCTATTTAAAAAAAGTCATTATGTTTTAGTGCTATTTAAGTAAATTTCTCGTCACAATAATCCTCTCACATATGTACACACCTTCTTAAACAAAAGCCTTCTCCCTCACCGATCGCAGTGTCCTAGCATTGAGGCGTGTTTAATCTTCATAACAAAGTTCGGGAAGGATCTCCATACACCCTCAATGACATAGAAAATTCACTTCGCAAACCATACGAGGCAGCATCGTCGTCTTATAATAACCTCTTCCCCATTTTCTGACATAGTATTCGAATTAAGCTTTTGCAAGGTTGAGTGTAGTCAAAATGTAGCCACATATCTTACATCATGCATGAGAATCCTCTTATAAATCAACCTTGCATTACCCCAACATCCTGTCTTTAGGAGGGTAAGAGCAAAATCAACCAATAAAGAAATGCATCTCAAGTCCTGATTGCCATCTTAAACCAATTACAACGGGTTATGTTTGCGGGGCAAAACAGCCACTGCAGCGAGGTCTGCAGGCAGCCATCCTTGCTTGACGGATGAGCTTTGTCTCATCTTCTCCCATGAGGATACACATCAGCAAGCATAAGAAACATTTTTTAATGTGGTGGTTCATCTAATCAATGAAATCATTGCCGCTAAACACCCATTGTTATCACTGTAGAGATCTTGAGAAAACTTCTTAACTTCTGCAAACATAAATTAAAAATCTAAATCATAATTATCACAAATTAATACAAACTCCAACACCAATGAAGGAAAACAAAGAAGACAACGAACTCGACTCCATGTCATTGCTTGATCTATTGTGGTCACTAGAATAGAGCTCTAAATAATATTCCATGACTGTAAACATAATAATTTCAAAACCTGAATCATCATTTTTGACACAAGTTAATACAAACTCCAGCACCAATAAAAGAAAACAAACTTGACTCCATCAAATCACATCACATATTTAGAACAATTCGGTCTCATAATTAGAATACTTCAATATCAATTAGAATGATTCAAAATCTATACTGGTCGGCTAACTTGCCAATGAAGATATTAAGTAATAGGGAGAAAGACCAAACTAGGACTAAAATATTGAAAATATACCAAAATAGAACTTCTATGTTTTTATTCTCGAAATAGGACTTACATTACCAAACATGGTCATATACATTACCAAAAAAGTATAGTAATTTGCACATGTACACTGCCACAATGCAAAGTCACATTACCATAGTGCAAAGTCCTATTCCGGGAAAAAAACATGAAAGTCTTATTTTGATATTTTTCTCTATGTTTTAGTCCTATTTAGGATGATTTCTATAAGTAATATCATATCAATCAACGTAACCAACCACTTCAATTCCAAGTTAATGATGAAACTTACAAAGTTTGTTTTCAATATGTCTAAAATTTTCAAATTGAAATGACATTGTTGATCAATTTGCTATGCTAATCATTGAAACGTAACCGACCTATTATTAGTCTAGTGTAATGATGAAATTCCACTATAATCAATCAACAATGCAAAATGAAGACAATCAGTCTCATAATTAGAATAATTCAAAATCGACACTGGCCGACTAACTTGCTAATGAAGATATTAAATATTCTCATATCAATCAATGTAACCACTTCCAAATCAATGATGAAATTAAACTGATTACGAAATATGAGTTGAGAAAACAGATTAGGAAAATTGAATATCAGAGGCAATTAATTTATCTTAACCAACCTTCATCAGCAATTGCATTAATCTGATCTTCCTCCTCCAATTCTTCCCGTGATCAACTCCAACTGTATTCTCTTTCTCTCTCTAAGTTGGGCTTTCTCTCTGCTCCAATTTTTGGAAATGAGTCGAATTAGGCAGGTTGAGAAATGGCAGTGTGTTTATATATAGTTGGTGATGTCATCCTTGCCATGTATGTAAGAGATTAGAGAGCGGGCGTGTGTGCCCCAACTTACAATTCAGAAATAATATTGATACACTATATACGTGCATTTATCCTTGAGTTGTAACCACTCAACGTAGTTTTAATAAATTCAAATCTTTGTAAGGTACTCAGATTAGATTATATATTGCCTCAATTTTCCACATAATTACGTTGTTTACAAATAAATATTCCCTTTATCCCACTTTTTTTGAGACTTGAAGGTGTGACACAAAAGAAAAATAAGATACACCGTAGTATCGATCCAACTCAGACCGGACCGGGACCGAACCAAATAAGAGCAGAAGAATGGACCAAAGACAGGACTAACTAAGCATAAGACCGGACAGGTAAAAACCAAACCGATCCAGACCAGCCCGAACATAGACCAAACAAGGGAGGCAGTACGTTTAAAACTTGGAAGATTGGCAGTTTGATTTTTTTTGGTCAAGTCTGGTTGAAAATTAAAAGAATCGGGATAAACAATATACTACTATGCTCCATAATCCATATCAAGAATTGGGATGTCAACAATGAAATGAAAAGTTTAAAAAAACACAAGTCATCCATGGCTACTAGGCACTAGTGATAAGGATTTCAAGTGGGAACAAATATACTCCATAATCCATAGAAACAACACACATACAATCCAAACAAAAAATTATGAGACAATCCACAAGTGTACAACTCAAAAGGAAATTACTAAGAGGGTAGTGCAAGTGCTTATTGACTTATTGCTGATAAGCAATTTTAATTTATAAGTCGCTTATAAGTTAAAATATTCTTTTATGAAAGTAAAATGATTTAAATGGAGGACAATTCATTAGGGAATATTCACAAAAGTTTATGGGCAATTTTGTAAATAATCTAGTCAAAACGGAGAAATGAAATTATTGATTTAAAAATAAGTAGGTAAGACTTTAATTTTTTTGACTTATAAGCTCAGAGAAATACGTCGTCAGATAACTTACAAATTAAGAATTATTTATAACAATTTTGACCTGCTTATAAGCACAAAGCTGCCAAGTTAAAATTCTTCACCAACTAAAAAAGATAGTGAAAAAAGGTTATATTGTACTATATTTTCAATAATATAATTCACAAACTATCAAAAAAGTGAAGGCATGACCACTGCACAAGAATCCAAAAAAAGTGGAGGCTTCAATGGTGGAAAAGAATAAAAAAACTATAATAAATTGAAATCTTGGCCACTGTCTACTATGCAAGAATCGAAAGAGAACACATACCTGTCTGTATGTTCTTCAATGGTGGACGAACGACAGGTGATATCCTTCAATGATGGCCGTGGTGAGTAGGCAAAGATGATGAGGAAATAGGGTTCACTGTTGGTTTCAGTGCTCGGTGTACTGGGTTTGAGAGAAAGTGGGCACCTGGTAAAGGGTATGGTAACTTGAGCAATGCTAGGGGTACACCTTACCAAAGGTGTACCCCATTTGTCCCCCACCCCCTTCTCCACCACTCTTTTTTATCATCTTTTTATTTATTTAATTTTTTTTTAAAATACTTGCCCATTTATGTGGTGGAGGAAGGGGTGGGGGGACAAATGGGATACACCAAAAGGTGTACCCCTAGCATTAAAGAAAAATGCTAGGGGTACACTAAAGGTGTACCCATTTGTCCCCCACCCCCTTCTTGTCCACATAATTGGGCAAGAAAATTAAAAAAAATAAAAAAATTAATTAAAAATGAGTGGTGGAGAAGGGGGTGGTGTACAAATGGGGTACACTAAAGTGTACCCCTAGCATTTCTCTACACTAAAACATAAGCCCAATTAACCGGTCCTCTAATGGGTCCACCGGTCCTGCCGGGTTCGGACTGGAAACTGAATAGGGGAAAATGATGGACCAGAGACCGGACCGAATTGGAACCAAACGGTTTTGACCATTCGTTTGGCCGCCTGATTTGGAGCAAATAATGCACAACCCTAGTTGATACTAATTTAAGAAGTAAGATACGGAGTAAATAAGAACATCAGTAAATTTCACAAAAATTGACTAATTATGATATGTGAAAAAAACTGTAGAACAAACAACAAGGTAAAAGGAGACGATCGCTAAAACGGAGCGAGACCAGTGATCCAGTGAAATAATAAAATATGAACCGCAGAGAATGTGAATAATTTAAAGAACAAAAATTATACTCCTCCGTCCTTTTTAAATCTGCTCATTTTCACTTTTAAGGCCAACTTTTTAAAATACTTAACAAATTATGAAAAAAGTACATTGAATTACAAAAAATGCCAACTTTATAAAATTAATATGAATAAGTTTATTTTGAAATATAGTTTTGAAATATTACATTTTTATAATACTCCGTATATATTTAAAATATGCAGAAGACCTTCTAGATTATAGTCATTATACATTCCCATTATCTTGATTAACGAGAATTTAAATCTTGATTCTCGGTGACCTCTAAGTATCTCAGGAACTGTTTGTATACAGAATTGGTTAGTTCTAAACCACTATTAGAAGCAGAGCGGAGATTCTTTCGCTCCTTTTTATCAAACTTCTTTTTTTATTAATACAACACCTGGGAGTGAAGCTTTGCAATGTTCTGCTTCTTCCTTATTAAAATTGGCACCCTGAAGATCATAACCAAGTGCATAATCCCCAGGCCCAGGCTTTAAGGGATGACCAAGATGAGTATTTACGGAAAACATGGCATCATTCCTTCAGTGAACTGATCACCAAAGGGAGTCAATTCACACACATATTGACAATGTTGGGACTGATTGCTGTACCATAATTGCAACACAGTATGCAGCCAATTGACTGATTCATGGATAACAAACCCAAAACAAAGCGTGCATCAAGAGTTAAAAATTTGGCCAGTTATAGGACTAAGGACAAACCATTACAAAGTCCAAGGAATCTATTTGAACATCCAAAGAGAATAGGAAGTATATGTAATCTAAGAGGGGGTCATTGTTCCCCATATATTGCATACCAATCCATATATACATTTGATTATAACAATCCAAATTAAAATAACTAACTTTTCAAACATACTAAAAACAAAAAAGTGAAAAACAAAGAGTGTAAGTACTTAGAAACTTATTTACATACCTCTCTATTTGTCATATGATCATCAATTTAAAACCCAGATTAAGGCTACGTCCTGTACGCCTAATTTGATTAGATCTAATATGATCTGATTTTTTGAAGATCTAGTTTGAACTGATCTATATAGATATGATTTGCCTCATCTCAATGTAGTTATATTTAAAGCTGTTTCTAATTTAGTTTGATTTGATCTTTGATTGGATTGGATCTGATTTTAATAAGAATAAGTAATAAGCTGAAAAAATAAGTTATACAGAACGGAACCTTAAGTGCATAATATGAGCTTTTTTTCTCCTCTTAGCATCATTTGCATAATTTAAGCATTTATAAGAATTTTTGCGTGCAGACAATATCACTCCCATGCTAGAATGCTTTGTTTCATTGCAAATAGAATTTTAACAAATATTAACCAAAAACTATTACTCAACAAATAGTTACCTAAATATTGCTTGTATAGACTGATCAATCATTAAAAACATTATATAACTCATTATAATTTAATCACCTCCATGCTGGGGATATGGCCACGCGGGAGGTCTAACTAAGAACAAAAATTGTGGCATATAGCCTTATAGGTTTCAACTTAAATTACTAAAATGCCACTAAACAGAAATTCAAATAAATATACAATTAGGTTCACTTTACCCCAACGCATAGGCAGATCCACATTTTTGTGACCACGAAGTCCCAAACTCTCAGGCCTCTGAATCTCGTCTTGAGCTAATTTATACTCCCCCCGTCTCAATTTATGTCTCTCATTACGCGTTACTGGGCTTGACGGACATTATTTTCTATACAGAAATAAAATTTACATATTTAAGAATTTGCTTAAAAATCTACAAAACAAGAGGTGACATTATATTATATAATGAAACGGGCAGTGAAAATAATCAAATAAAGTGAATAAAGTTTTCCCGTATAAATAGTGCACTTGAAGAACAATTTAAAGTGAAAATAACCATTAGGGATACCTTTGGCATTTCATACTCCGTAATTGTTAATTTAATAAATGCGGTAAATGGATAACCATTTTAGAAAAAAATTAAAACAGGAAAATAAAGCATTAAAATGAAAAGAATCAGCAAATCTTATTCGTGACCATCAGCAAATCTTATTCGTGACACTAACAACATATAAATATGCATATCCAAAAAGAATTTATTCTACAATTATACAAAGGTATATAATTCCTCTCATGAGTCATGACCAAACACACCTTTAAGTGAGTGGTTGTGACACTCAAAGAATCAGAACCCATTGTGTACAATTAAATGGTCGGTTTTTAATTGATTTACTGGTCGAAATGTCTTCAACTAAGATGCTTGTAATTAACTAGGGTTAAGTTAGATTCCAGATGATGATCAACACAGAAAATTCTCATCGCGTCTTATTACTATTATTCTTATTGGAATCAAATCATATGAGATTTTAAAAAAAATTCACATGATTCAGATCAGATCAGAAACATATCATATCAGTTCAAATTAGACCAGAAAATTCAGATCTGAAGAAAAACAATTGAATTGAACCAATTTACAATGAATGAAATTAACAACCAATTGAGTTCACTATTTCTTGCAAAATCGTTTGCTTTATCGATCAAGCAACATAGAGAAAAGGTCAGACTGAGCATTAAAGTAAGAGTGAGGATATATACCTGGATTAGGGTTGTAAACCTGTGGAATTGAAAACGGGGCCACATAGCCGGATGGATCGAAGCTCTGCGCGAGCAGGACCGTGGAGGGAAATGCCAATTTCTTCTCTAGTTCTCTGTACTAATTCGACTTAGAATTTTACAATTTATACCAAAATTCTCAGAATTTTCAAAGATGTTGTATAAATGGTTTATTTACAAGTTTGTTAATATAGAATCAAGTCAATCAACTAAAATCATAAATCACATGTTAGTTCTGTAATATGCTTTTTCAAACATTATCTTCTATACTTAATTTCTTTAAATTTTAGACAATTATTCTTGATTTGGTCTTCGGTAATCAAATTTGAAAGTTGGATATCAGTCAATAAAGCTCGTTATCAATCGATCAATAATTCTTCATCAATCTATGCCATTTTCTTCAAGTCCCAACACATATATTGCTGAGCATTTAATCAACACATTCTCAAATCTGACACAGAAGGACCATGTTTTTAAATTTCAGAGGGCATTGGTAATTTTTAAAGTTTAGGAGGAACCAATACAATTTTTGAAAAAATCAGGAATAAATGACGATTTTTTTAAATATATTTTGCTTATACTTTGAGTGATTTCTTTACTAAATATGATTTAAAACAACTCTTCCCATGTTTTCTCACATTTTCTAATTTTCCAAACATCTTCTCTTTTTCATTTTTAACTCCTTTGAGCTTTTAAAACTCTTTGATTTCTTTCAATTCTTTCAAATTTTTTCATCATCCTACTCTAGAAGAAATTAGAAAAATTGAAAAGAGCTGAAAAATATTACATATTTTTGAAATTTTATATTTCTAATATTAAAATAAGTTATGCTCCATTTGTTTCAATTTTTATCACTTTTTATTTTTTATATCTCCAACGAGTATGGTCTCAAAGTATTTAGTGTTGAAACAATAGACTTGGGCTCATTTCAACCCCAAAAGTTAACTCTAAAGATTGACGTACCCAAACTATTAAATAACAGCACAATATAAGGCTACATTGCAATGGGCCCAAGTCTATTGTTTCAACATGGCATCGGAGCTAAGTCATTGATGTTGGGACCGCGCCCGCAGTAATCTGCATCTCGTGTGAGGGGGCGTGTTGACTTGTTTATACCACATCGGCAATGCAGCCTTATATTGTGCTGCTATTTAAGCTTGGGTACCTCAATCTCTTGAGTTAACTTTTGGGGTTGAAATGAGCCGTCTATTGTTTCAACATTTGGTAATATTTGTGTGACTCAATAAGCTCATTCTCACTTTTTCATATTTGTAACATTATCAATCACATAATTATCTAAGGAGTATTTCTTAAATTTTGGGATGACAATTTTTACCCGACTCAATGAATAACCAATCCACCCGATCCGCTCTTATGGATAAAAAAAATAAAAAAGAAATGGATGATGGACTAATGATGGATCAGGTTGGATGCGGATGGAGATGCTTCTCGCATGTCCCAGATCCATTGCCTAATGCATTCATATTTATTTTTAAAAAATTAATATTTAAAATATTACCTTTGATGGCTACATAAATTTGTTGTACTTTCCAATGTTCCATTTTATAAAAGCTTATGGTACGGTGTAACTCAATAATTTGTTTTTTTGTAAGATTTTATCATAAATATCGATCATTCATTTTCACATGTTTTACTTGTTCCACCCGTGGATGATAGATTGACGGAGGTGATGTATATAATAAATGATGAATGAATAGCGTGATGAATAAGAAATCGATATATTGATGAGGGTAAAGCTCCACGTGATCAAAATAAGAGTTGTCATCCCTACTTGATTTTTGTGCAACTAACTCCTCTCTCGTGAAACAAAGTGATTAATATTTTTATTTCTGTTAAAAGAAAAAATTATAAATGATATAACCTTTAATTGATAAAAAAATAATTTCACGCCAACCTTATATACTAAAATGATTAGAAGTATCGGTGGGTGTTGTGCACTTGGTAAAGGTAAAGAGTGTTAAGAGGGTAAGACCCAAGTTCGATTCCTAACAACCACGTTGTGAGGCAACTATGCTAAGCATAGAATCTCTTTAAATGCCAGGTGCATACTCCACTCTATGCCACTAATCTGCAATTAAAGTCCAATTTACAGCGTAGAGCCAATGTTTGTTAGGCCGGGTCTGAGGATGACGTCTTCACCCGAGCCAATTAAAGTCCAATTTACAGTGTATTGAGAATGTCCTCTCCTCTTCTAAGGAGCGGGGTATAAATAGGAGATGGGGTTAGGGTTTTGGTTCTTGTACAAAGACTAATGGGCCGGCCCAACAAACACGGGCACCCCTAAATAAGTAATCAATATATGACTAATAGGCTGGTCCAACAGACTGAACCGGCCCGACTAATGTTATACAACAATTGGATACCCTATGTTCAGAGTATGAGTATCCATCACCTATGTTCCATAATTTTTTTCAAAGATGGAAAAGGTGTGCCCTAAAAATAATTAATTTTGATATTATTTTCAAATTATGAATCATCTATCACACATAGCTAGCATGTCATATCTTATTACTCCCTCCGTCCCACTGTCTTTGTCCACTTACTTTTTGGCACACCATCCAATTCACTTCTTTAATCCATTTTATCTTGTTATTTGTATATTAAAAAATTATAGAAATTATATATTAATAATCTATATGTTAAGACAAATCAAACAAGATCACACATGACTATATTTAGGCTTATACATTGAGGGAATTTGATGAGTCAAAGTGCTTAGATGAACAATTCCAAAAGTCAAAAGTGGACAAAGACAGTGGGACGGAGGTAATATAAAGTAAATACAAAATTTGAAAATAATATCAAAATTTTATAAATTTAATGAGCGTCTTTTACGTGTTTGAAAATTTTTAAGAGATTGAGGAAATATGAAAAATTCACATAATTATTTTTTACTAGCAAGTCGTTTAAAAAGAATAAAAGAAAAAGTTGGAAGAAATAAATAAGAATGGCACTTCCACCGCCCATTAATTTTTTTATCACTTTTCTTTTTAGGTTGTACAAAAGTTTCTTTCCTGTGAATGCACAATTATACCCCTACTTTTAATCTACAATATTTATTTTATTCCATTACATCAAAGATTACATATGAGAAGTTTTTACAATATTTAATTTTTCTTAATTTTAGTGGTGAGTGGAACTAAAAAAAATTGAAGAGAAAGGATTTGGAATAAGAAAGTGGCTATAAAATAATGCGGGGTAGTGGGGTATAAAAATGAGACGCCCCATACACAATCCAACGAACTCAGGTATACACTGCACAGACCAACACTCCGTACTATGGCATTCTTGTTTCTCCCTTTCATACCAGCGGCGGTAGGAGGACTAGCGGCGGCGGGCCTTGGGTTAGCGGCGGCTGGAGCGGGAGCTGGAGCAATAGGATCACTAGCAGGGCGACAGAGGACCGTGTTTGACCCGTTTCCCCGTCATCTGAATCTGCCTAGCTTTCCAGACCTGCTACCTCGGATTCATCGTCCTGAAATGAAGAGGGAACCCGTCGCCGTTGTTGCTAGCGTTCCGGTCAAACCTAACAAGCCCCGGAGCAACAGCAGCAGCAACAGCAGTGATAGTGAAAGTGAGAGTGATAGTGATACCGAGAGTCTCAGCTTACCTAGCCTACCCAGCATTGGCAGTAGTAGTGAGAGTGATGACGACGACAGTGATAACGAGACCACGGAGGAGAAGGAGAAGAAGAAAGTAAGTCAATTATGTAATACACTAATACTACATCCGCGCCTGTGTGTATGTGTCTAGTTTAACTTTTTCCAGTCAAACTGGATATATTTTGATTTTCAATTTCTCTTAGAAAAAATATTTTTATACCTATAAATTTACATTACAGTTTTTATATAATTGAAACTCAAAATTCATCTTAGAAATGACTTATGTTTTAGTTTTATTGCGTGAAAATTTCAATTGCAAAAACAGTTACATATATAACCCGGCCAGATCATGTTTTACAACCCATAACATTCTTTGGAGACGTGTACCTAAGAAAAGAAATACGGAGTACTTTGTTTTTTCACGAATTTTTTAAATGTCAGTAATTGTTGTGTACATAAATAAACGTTAAAGAAATACCGTATAATTATTCAAAACTACTCTGATATTTTGGTTCAAAATGTGTTTTTTTACTATTTCAAGGTCAAATTTTGATCCGCAGCGAAAAAATCTTTCTTGGATAGACTTTTTCTGTCCAAAATTATAATCTAATTCATTATTAACATTGTCAAACATTATTCATCTTGTTGGTGTATTTTCGTTGCATATATATTTGATAAAATAATGTATATTCATGTGCTCATGTCGCATATAATTTTGTAGATTTTTTTATGTAGTTTTTAAATACTACCTTTGTTCTAGAGTGTTTGTTCAGTTTTGACTTTTTACCGTCAATCTAGATTGATCTTTGACTTATAATTAAATAAAAATTGTCTTCATTATTAATTAGATAAAGAAACATTTTAAAAGTATTTTTCAAGATAAATCTAATACAGTTATTGTTGTATCAATATCTAATATAAATTTTATTTAATTAATGGTTAAAGTTTATCAATTTCGACTGCAAAAAATAAAACCTGAGAAATTGCTATGGGATGGAGCCTGGAGGTAGTATGTAATTTTTATATTCTAATTTTACATCATTTTTCATATGAAATAATTTGAAAATAGATTTAAATCAAACACTGTAACGTGTAATGCAAAAATAATTAGATTGAGGGATCGGAGTATATAAATAAATACCGAGTATATATTTTCGTTAAACATAAGGAAAATTTTGTAAACATTGACGAACAATGCACTGTTTGGGACATCTAAACTTTATTCTGAATTGAATTTTTTAGGGAATAATTATTTTTTTAAAAAAAGTAATTATCTTGTTGTACTACTTGCGACCCTGAATATTTGTCCAGTTTTGACTTTTTTTGATCAACTATTTTTAATCTTTGACCTATAATTAAATATTTCCTCCGTCCCCGAAAGGGTTTTCCTTATTGACTTTTTGGGAAATTAAGACAGGGATATTTTGGTGTTAATTTTCTAAAAATACTCTTGATATGATGGGTAAAAGTAAGATACTCCGTATGATAGAGTATGAAAAATTAAAGTAGAGGGTAAAAGAGGTTTTTTAATAAAAAGGAAATGAGTTAGTGAGATAAGAAAAAAAAGAAAGAGGAAGAAGTTTAAATGACGGGGGAAGTAAAATATACTCCCTCCGTCCCAAAAAGATTTACACCTTTCAAAAAAGTTGCGTCCCACAATCTCCTACCAATTTCTATTAAAAAACCACTTTTACCTCTTACTTTTTCAAACCCTACCTATCACATCATATCTTTTTCCTAATAATCTACACATCACATCCTACTTTTACCCATCACATCAAGGGTATTTTTGGAAAGTCAACACATAATTATCTCTCCCTTAATTTCAACTTTAGTCAAAACGTGTAAATCTTTTTGGGACGGAGGTAGTATATAGTATATTAATTAGATAAATAATATTTTGAAAAAAATTGATATAATAAATATAATAAAACTATTTTTGTATATATCAAATATCTAATATCATTTTTATTTAACTTGAGGTTAAAATTTACAAATTTTAATCAGAAAAAAAGTCAAAAGTGGATAAATACTCAGAAACGGGAAGTATTTAAAAGAATATGTAATGTTTATTTTATAATGGCTATTGGATTAAAAGGATTGCAAAATTTAGGGTAAGAGGGTTTATATGTTACTGTAATTAATAACTCTTCATTAATTTGTGTGTTTGTAGGAGAAGAAGAGACTGAAAAAAACTTTGAAAAAAATGACGATGCTCAGTAAAATAGGAGAGAAAATGTGGAGCATGAAGAAGATGACGAACCAAAGCGGGGGAACCAAAAGCGTAACAGTACTCGCCCCGCCGCCTGAGCCATCGCTCTACCGCACCAATCAACGCGCCGTCTTGACCTCCTCTAGCCTTCGCGGCGGCGTCCGTGATCGTCAAGCGGCGGCGGCTCTTTACTTTAGCAGGAATTGAAAAAGATTGCCCCAGCTGGAAACGGAATAAAATTTCAACTCGGATCTTAAAGATCTATATATATATATATATACTACATATATACACACACACACACACACATAAGGTGTGTAATAATAAACTTGAATAAACAAATAAACTCCCTACTTGAATAAACAAATAAACTTGAATACATTAAATTCGTATATAAATTTGGATTCAACACATTTATTTTGAAATATCATACTTTTATATCCTATATTTATATAATAATCGAGATATTAATGAACAAAATATTGTATCAGAGAGATAAATCAAATAAAAAGAAAGATATGCATGAGATGGAGCTGGGAGGGAGTATTTATTTATGTATTTTTATATATTTATCTTTTGATAATATAAAATAGTTGTGTCATCTTTTGTTTTGTGCAGTAAAACTTTTGAAGTCATTTTTAAATACTCACTCTATTTTTTAAACACTTTGTATGTACTACTTCGTATTTAAGGTCTCTCGATAATTGTTGTTTATTTATATTTTCATTGATAATTTAGTAAAATAAAATATATATTTATATTAATTAGATAAAATAATATTATGAAAATATTTGATATAATAAATCAAATAAAATTATTTTTGTATCAATATCTAATATCAATTTTATTTAATTTAACGTAAAAAAATATCAATTTTGACCAAAAAGTACTCCGTAATCAAAAGTGAAAAATACTGAGATATAAAAGATGTAAGCGTCCTCCCATAATTCTAGCTAAAACTTGGGACAAATTAATTAATTAAAGATGGAGAAAAAGAACCAAAAGAGTCAAAGTGGTGCCATACCATGATCCGCTTTTTACTCCAAGTGCTAACAAACTCGGTCCACATAAAATTGGGGGTACAGTGGTAAATATTACGGACTAGGCGTAATATTACGGAGCATTAAAAAAATAAAATAAAGAAATATTTGCACTAAATAGCACTAAAACTTAAGTCATTTCTCTAAATAGTACTTAAATTATTTTATTCCTAAATAGCATTTAATAATGTCCATAATGTCTTGTGATAACAAATATTTACTTGAATAATGACTAATGCATAATGACTAAAAGTGCTACATTATTGGGAAGAAAAACACATGTAGTGCTATTTAGGGAAAGTCATTATGTTTTAGTGTTATTTAAGTAAATTCCTCATAAATAAAATCACGCGGTTGAGATTTACTCCGTATATATAAATATATTGGCAATGTTGTAAACTATATAACGCTTTCTAATTTCTATAAATAAAAAATTCTAAATATTTAACGAATTACAATGGACTAAAAAGTCCGTCAAGGAAAAATTGCGAGTATCATCGAGTTTAACTTTTTGCTCGTTTTTTTGCTCTATATGTTTGGAGTGCAATTTAACGCAATGTTTGGGAGAATAGAAGATTTGGAAGTGATGGATATCGGGCCTAAGTAATATAGAGATCGGTCCGACGAGTAATCACATCTTTAGTATAAAGTGAGCTGAAGGAAGAGTTATATGAGAGATTGGGTCTGGGCTTGGATGAGCTGGTGAGGCCAGGTACAATCAATTCCACGGATTGTTGATGATTGATGGCTATTTCTTCATTCATAATTTATTGACGTTATATCAATTGTGGCGAGAAACCTGTGCAATGATTACATGTCAGCGTATGTCGCAATGAATAAATATAAACTATAAATAATAGGTAGAACCTCCATTGTAGGGCCAAGCTGAATCAAGTTATTATAAGCTTTAGTGAGATTATATTTCTAAGAATTTTAATATTATTCTTAGTTTCTTACTCCCTCCGTCCTATAATGTTCTTCCCACTCACTTTTTACACGGTCAAACTTTTATTACTTTCTTTACCTATTTTCATTAGGCATTTGATAAAATAATATAATCTTGTCACCACTTGTTTTGTAGAACTTTTGATGTAGTTTTTAAATCTATAAGTTTTATTTTTTAATTTTACACCTACAATCAAATAAATTAAATTGAAAATAAAGTTGGTCAAACTTCGTAAAATAAACCAGGAAGAACATTATAGGACGGAGGGAGTACTATTGTTATTGGTACATCTATAGTTGGTGACTGGTGGGCTAAAAAAAAATCAATCTTGAGGTGAATTGAAGTATTAGAAAATCCAAATCTAGACACATTAATTATCCAATCTTTACATCTTGTAACTTGTTGATGGTTTTGATTTTTCTAATGCCATGTCACAACTTATCATCTAATTATCTATTTCAAGCTAATAAATTTGTATAGAAATCATCCGTCAGTAAAATAAATCTAAATAAAAATCCGCTATAGAGCGTACAGTACCAAATTGCTACAAAAGTAACTGATTCATCTAATCTAAAATTAAAAAGTAATTACCATTTAATGCCTTTATTTAGTAATGTGTGAGGTAAAACATTCTCAGTAATGTCTAAGAGTAAAATTAACTACGAACAATAAGGAATAATTAAAAATCAGGAACTAATATAACTAATGACTAGCTTAGCTTGGTACCCAAAAAACATGGTAGCACACTACAAATTAGCTATCAAATCAAAAACAAATTAAACAAAACATTTAATTTAATAAATCAGAATCCTAATTAATTAATTAATTAATTTAATTGGTTGGTAGGTTCCAATAAGCCATGGGAATCAGGCAGAGAGAGAATGAGTTTTTCTGGAACCAAACACTTGTCCTTGGAGTATAACTTCTCTTGAACCAATGTACATCCAACAAGTCTCTCCATGTCTTCATTTATAATTATCTCACCATTTTCCTGCAATATAATCAATAAATTAATATTTTCATAATTAATTAGATTAAAAGAATGAATTGAATAACTTGACTCATCAAATTCATCAAGGTAGTGTTTGGCAACTAGCATTTCATTTCAATTCATGCATTTCAATTCCAAGATTTGAAATCTTGAATTTCAAATGACAAGGAGAGATGCATGGATTTCAAATTAAACTTTGTAATGAATGAGAGAAATTTGACTCAAATCCAAATTCAAAATTTTTGAATTTTCCAAACATGGAATTTGAGTCAAATCCGGATTTGAAATCCAAATTCATATTTCCAAACATGCCATAAATTAAGATAGTATGCAGAATAATGTATACATGACAAAGTGATTATTGAATTAACAGCACAATGCTGTATCACTTTATAAAACTCTCACTTTCTATTTTTTTTGAAACATACTCCCATCATTTTTTAGTGCGCAGTTGGTTAGAATGCAATATCTATTCATATTTTTTTAAACCCAAAAACGTACAATGAGTCAATGTCTCTAATTCTATTCGGGCTCAAACCTTCGATTCGGGAGTAAATTTTTGTATGAATCTTGGGGAATGAGATTCTTATACTCATACTCATGTTAAGAGAAGTTTAGGAAATATTGAAAAGTAAAAAAAATGAAATATTTGTACTAAATACCACTAAAACTTAAGAAATTTTTCTAAATAGGACTTAAACTGTTTTATTTCCTAAATAGCATTTAATAATGTTCATAGTGTCCAGTGATGACGAACATTTACTTGAATAATGACTAATGGATAATGACTAAAACTGCTAGATTGGAAAAAAACACATGTGATGCTTTTAGTGCTATTTACGTAAATTACCCAAAAAATATGAGGTTGAAAATTGAAGGATTAATTAATGGGAGTTTAAAAGACACATTTATTAGCTAAATTAGGATAGCAATTTAAATAAGAGGGAAAAACCCAAACTATTTTAGCTCCATTTAAATGGTGTAAATTTTGTTCTGTAAACCGTTAATAATCAATTAATCACAATGTAACTGCCAAGCAAAGAGCATTGTACTCTTAAGAATGATAATCATATATGAGATGATCATTAACTTATGCCCTAATAATGAATTCGTTAATTAATGAAAATTAATAAACAAATAATAATTGCTAACCTGCGACAGCGACATGCAAGACTGAAGCACGCAGACTTGGGCTTGCATGAACTTGATGTAGTTGTACGCCGCCTGAAACATCTCGGCGGTGTTCATCTTCTGGCCGCCGGGAATCAGCTTTCCCAACTCGTGCGTCTTCTCCGTTATCCTCCTCCTCCTCTCCCTCGCCGCGATGCTCTGCGGCGACAGCGTCTTCCCCGCGGGGACCTCCCTCTTCCTCTCAGCCTCCTCCGAGCACCCGTACGCCGGAAACGGCGGGAGCTCCGGCGGAGGCGGGGGCTCGAACTCTCGAAGCAGAGGAGGGTTCGGGATGAAGACGCCGAAGGCGTTCTGGGTAATGCCGCCTCCGCCGCAGCCGTGGTGGAGCTTCTGGCGTTTCGGGCGGGGCTGGAGCTCGAGCTCCTGCGGCGGGACGGAGAAAAGGTCGCCGCCGCCGGAGGAGGAGTTGAAAAGAGCGTCAAAGGAAGGGGAGGTCTCCGGGAGTAGAAGGAAGTCGCAGTCCCTGTCGAAGCCGCCGAGAAAGAGCTCGGAGGCGGCGGCGGAAGGTTCCAGCTGCTGACGATGATAAGCGTCCAAGGGATGCGGGTGGTCGGGGAGGAAAAGAGGGGCGGCGGCGTCGTCGGAGGTTTCGGAGAAGTCAAGGAAGATGTTGTTGTCGTGAGTGGTTTCCCAATTAGGGCAGTAACTAATTAAGCTCGTTGCCGCCATTTGTGTAATGAATGATTTAGTCAAATGAGAGAAAGAAAAAACACTGAAAATGAGAGAGAAACAGAAAGAGAGAGAGATAATAGAGAGAGAGAGAGAGAGAGAGAGGTACGGTGCGGCGGAGGATAAGAAGGGAGGGTGGGGAAGTTACGGGAGTGAAAATCGGGGGAGTGTGAGGATGGTAATTTTTCGAGTGTAACAAACTCCCTAATTATTCTACTTAATCACTCCGTGACAGTTACTAAACCCCGCCTCTCTCAATCATTTATTACTACTTAAATAAGTTACTTCCTCCGTCTGAAAATGTTCTTCACATTTGATTTTTTTTGTCAAAGTTTATAAATTTTGATTACAATTTGTGGAAAAAACACATTGTATTATGATGTAAATTTAATATCAATATATTCATAATGAAACGTAGTTTTCAAATACTCCCTCCGTCCTAAAACTTTCTTCCCGTTGCGCAAAACGAAGAAAAATCCCAAGTTTTTTCAATCTATTTTATTTAAATATTGGTATAGAAATAAAAAAATAAAACTTATATATTTAAAAACTACATGAAAAGTTCAACAAAACAAGTGGTGACAAGAATATTTTATTTTATCATATAGGCAATGAAAAAACACAAATAAATATAAATTCCCGTGAAGTTAGAATAGTGCTATGGGAAGAAAGTTTTAGGACGGAGGGAGTATCAAATTTTTATAAAATATATCAATGCATAAATATGGATATTAATGGTCAAAGTGCAATATTGGAGACTGTAAAATATCAAATGATAAGAATATTTACAGACACGGAGGGAGTAATACTTTTCCTTTATACTCCCTTGTACGAGTATAATTTATTTATGATGTTTAATTGATTGATAAAAAATGTTCACGTAAAATTTGATCAAAAAAATTACTCCGTATTATAAATATATTTTAAAAATAAATCAAAGGGTATATAAATTATTTTATCCGATGATAGATTAAAATATACTCCAATTGTCCAATAGAAAAACTTTTCAGTATCACTTTTCTTGCATCCCAAACAGTATATCTATTTTTAATTAAAATCTCGTTTTTACCTTATTAATTCAAAATCTATTTATCACAGTAAATCTATTGATTATTAATTTATCAATCACATCTTACATTATTATATAATAAAGTATGAATAAAAATAAAAAATATTACTAAAATATCTTTTTCCATTTTATGAGACAAATGGAGTATATGTAATGAAAGAAAAAAAAAGTTTGTCATATAAATCATAACGCTAAAAAAAGAAAATACTCCCTCCGTGAGCTCTGCCCGCAAAAAACTTTCCATTTATGAAAATTAAAGGATTTAAGAAGAATGTATTATGGTGTTGGCTTTCCGAAAATGCTCTTTGATATGATGGATAAAGTAGGATGTGATGAGTAGATTAATAGAGAAAAAGCGTGATATGATAGGTAGGTTAATAATTACTATAGAGATAAAAATGAATTTTTAATTGAAAATAGACGGATTTTTTGGGATGGATGAAAAAAGAAAGTAGAATGATTTTGTGAAAGGGAGGGAGTTTGTAATAAGGATTCAAACGTGCTCATTTTATCAGAATAAGATTTTTAATATTTTAAAACAAAATACTCACTCATACTAGGGGTGGACACGGTACCAGTACGATACCGTGACCGGCAACGGTACCCGCCACCGTCTGCCGGGACGTTCCATCGGTTACGGAAACCGATACCGGAACCGCCCCTCTCGGTACCAGTTCCGGTACCAGCACCGGCGGTTCCGGTACCGTTATTTTTTTTATTTACAATATTTAAATGACAACTACATTTTTAGATTTTTTTATTTCATTCTTTCCTTTATCAATTGCATTTTAAAAATTTTTTATTTCATTCTTTCCTTTGATAATTGCACATTTACAATTTTACACTTTAAAAATTTAATAAAAAAGCAAAAAAAAAATTGGGGGTGGCCGAAAATGGCCGGTCCGATTCCGGAAATGCCGGTCTGGGTACCGGTACCAAGGGGTGGCGGTTCCGGAACTGGAACCATCCCGGAACCGTACCGTATCCACCCCTAAGTCTCATACTACTAATTAATACCGACCCATTATGCCAAAAGCTTCTAAACTACCACCATACAATGCCAAATGGTTGTGTTTAATAGTATCATTACTCTCATTAAATCAAGAGAGACAAATTTAAGAGCTCTCATTTTACTATAAGGCCCCGTTTGGTACATGGAATTCAAACCATAGAATTGGAATTGAGGGCTTCAAATCCAATTCCGGTGTTTGGTAGCTCAAAAATTATGTAAATTTGGAATTAATAGTGTAAAAAATGAATTGGAATTGCCAGAATTCAATTTTATGGATGATGGGTGTATTCCACCCACAACCGGTCAAAGGAGAAGACCAATTAGTTGACCGGCTGTGGGTGGAATACACCCATCAATAAGCCCTCCACTTCTCGGTCATGCAATTTGCCATGAGCAGGAAGTAAAAAGTCTAAAAAGGGACCTCAAATTTGAAGAGGGGGCCCTGGAAGATAGGTGCATTTGGACCTTGGAGAGGGTTCGAAACCATTCGACATGGTTAAATCTCCAGTATTCTTACCGGTTAAGAATACTTCAAGAATTACTAGGTTACAGATGTTTCCATCTACAACCTACCGATAAAAAAAAGAATACCCCGGTCGGGTATGGGCACAACAGAACTTCGAAAGTTCTACATCCATCGAAAGGCAAGGCCGTTGACCGGTCAAACCATGGAGTGGGAATTCACCGGTCAAAGTAAACTTTACCAAAGAATTTGTGAAGCTATCCAAAAAGCAAAAGTAAAGTTCGGCCGGTCAAACTTTTTGAGTTGGCCAAAATGATGAAGACGTTCGAAAAGCAAAAATTGAAGTTTAACCGGTCAAAGTCACTCGAGCTGATCCTTCAGATAAAGTGATCAAAGAGAATTTTGACGTTCTACCGGTCAAAATCAATTTTAGAAGTGGCCTGATTTGTGTACCGGTCGGAATTTCTATGATGGTATTCTAAGAAGCAGTAACGAAGTATCAATCAAAAGGCAAGCAGATAGGGAAGATTAACCGATATGGAAATTCAGCATTGCATTAAAGCAGAATAAGAAAGTTAAGTGTTTACAAATACACCGGGCATTCCCGGGGAAATGGGTTCGAAGTTTACATAAAATAGTTCAGCCGGGCGCAGCCGAGGAGATCAATCAAGGGGAAATGGGGGAGTAGGCTCTTCCTCCGGGATGGGAGCTAGGCCGTATGAAGCTGCAGTGAAGTCCGGGTCCCTTTTCTTCAAGATCCGATGAGAAGCAGCCCGGTCCTTCTTCTGACCGCTCTTGAATCCGAAGGACCCAATAGCGGTAATCATCTTCTTCCCCTCAGGCTCCCGGTAAAGTAGCCCGAAGGACTCCATGGTAGCTTCCAGGCTAGCCGTCATCACCCGGGCGGCTTCAGCCTTGTTCTCTCCTACCATGCGGCAGCACGACCGGGGAAGTCTTTTTCCTTCTGGGACATCTCCTGCTTCGCCCCAGAAACTTCGTCGAGTAACCGGCAGTTTTCTTCCTTCAGCTGGGAGATCTCCACCTTCATAGACCCGGCTAGCCCAGACAGCCTGGTCAGCTCGTCAGCTTGACTCTTCAAGATGAGAGCCATCTCCTCTTTCTCCTTCTTCAGCCGGGCAAGTTCCGAAGGAGAGCCTAACCCCAGCCGGTCAGCTGTAAGGGGTCCGATTTCTCCAACCTGCAGCATGCGTGAACCAATCGGTTAAACTTCAGAGAAAAGTAGGGACCTAACATACCGGGAGGGGAATTCAACTTACCTCCCTCAGCCTCAGCCCAAGGTTGACGAAGGCCTCCTCGACGGTCTGGCCGGCCGGCTCAGAATCCGACCTTGCCCTCTTCTTGGCGTAAGAGGGGTGCGTGGTGGCCACCTTCTTGGTCCGACGACCGGTTTTCTCTTTCTCCTTCCCCTTGGACCGGTTATCTTGGGGTTCGTCCTCATCCAAAATCTCCACGGTCTCCTGGTGGACCGGGAAGGTTTTGGCAGGGTTGGCTTGGGAACCCCCGGTCTCCCCCGCCGGTTGGTCGTCGGGGATGACGAACTCTTCGTACTCCATATCTGCAAAAACAACTAAAACTGTTAAGTACAGGCAATGGTACCGGTCAAAGCGCAAATCACAAGAAAAATAAAAAGTACCTGGGTGGCTCTGGCCCTCAGCCTCTGCAGTGTTGCCCGGGGAGGGTACCCTGCGCCCTGCTGCTTCATGGGCCTGGGAGGTACCCTCACCACCCGACTCCACCCTCCAAACCCAGCTGCCATAATGGAAGATCCTCCCGGTGAAAGGATCCCCGCGCATGAGGACCTCAAGATTCGCTTCCAAGTCTGGGGAAGAAGCCGGTGCAGTGTACTCTTGGTCGAGCAGATGGTCGTTCCAGTTCAGACCGGCCAAAGGAGTGACAAAGGGGGGAAACTCGATGAAAACAAATTTTTTCTTCCATCTCCGGTTACTCTGGGGGACTTCGGAAATGAACTTCCTACCGGTACGGGCTTTGAAGAATACAAAACCTTCGCAGCCATTCCCGCCCGGTAGGACTTCGAAGCAAAAAAGGAAGAGACGCAAAGAGGGGAAGATTTTCAGGTGGGTACAAATATTTACAAAGGAATGGAGATACCGGTGGGCGTTAGGAGTTATTTGGCCGGGCAAAATCCTAAACGCATGGCAGACTTCGATAAGGAGGGGGCGAAGGGGAAAAACTATGCCCGCATCCAGCGATATGGTGTGGAAACCTATCCTGTCCTCCCGATGGGGTTCAACGATGTTGGACCAGTTAGGTTCATACAGGAGGGTATACCCATCCGGGAGCCTCCTACGGATTTTGTTTAAGGCAATTTTGGATACACGGGAAGAGATGTCGAGGACGTAGAAGGTGGGGAGTGGAAAGTAACCGGCAGCATAAAGCCGCTCCTCCCACGCGTCCCGGGTTTCGTGTTCTGGGTCGTAGGGGCCCGGTTCGTCATCGACCGGGTCATCCCTCCCCACAAAAGTTTCACCGGGCATCTGATTAACAGGATGCGGGTCGGGAATAGAGGATTGGGGAACCTGACCGGGCGTGGAGTCAAGAGAAGAAGACCCGGTCGAGGAAGAGGAGTTGGAGTCCTCAGAGGAGTAGTCCTCTGAGGAAGAGATCATATCGCTAAGAGAAGACATGACCGGGAAAGTAGAGAAGGAAGGGGAAACTTACTTGGCTCGGAGGGCTGGATAGCGAGAGAGAGGAATTCGACCGGTGAAAGCTCTAGAAGGCGAAGTGCGAAAAGTGGGAAGTGAAGGGGTTTGGAGGCCTTTATATAGGAGGGAGGAAGCCGAATCAGACGACGTGGCATCTTCAGGTTGCGCCGCGTCAGGCGGCACAATGATGACTCACTGGCAGGCGAAACGACGGGTGGGCCGCCAACCGTTGCAGCGACGTGTGTCCAACACGTGTCAAAGCTCCGAGTTCAAATTCAAATTTTGAGATTTTCGGGTGGGAAAAAGCCTGAAATTCAAATTTGAGGTCCCTTTTTAGACTTTTTACTTCCCGCTCATGGCAAATTGCATGACCGAGAAGTGGAGGGCTTATTGATGGGTGTATTCCACCCACAACCGGTCAAAGGAGGAGACCAATTAGTTGACCGGTCAATCTCAAAAGTTTTGGAAGGAAGACTTAAATCGTCAGCAAAACGATGTATCATCGGCCAAAAGATGACCGGTATACTTCACAAAAAAATATACCGGTCAAACTACGTTGTCATCCTATTTATTCCAGACTGCGATGAATTCATCCCTCGGAGATTACCCGGTGTAGTTTCTGGGGTTGGAAAGTGTCGACAGAAGAGGATCTACGAGGGCTTGGCGTGTAGCGACCTGTGTCAGTAGAGGACAACTGGAGATGCTGAAGAATCCATCCAAGGCACTACTCGACAAAGGGAATGATCCCCCTCACAAGGCGATAAGGCAGCTCGAGGACGAAACCAGTCACCTCGCACCACATTAGCAGCATGCCCCCACGTGGGCGCACGTGGTCTTGTCCCCCATAGCCTAGTATAAATACTCATGTAAACCTCAGAAAGAGGGGTCCGAATTCATTCTATCTAAACTCTCTTGTAAAAGCATCCGTGCATTCTCCGTTATAATATAAGTTGGGCTACAGGTGTTCCACCTAAAGTCCTACCGGTTAATCTGCGTGTTTTTACCTTTCTTACTTTGCCAAATCAAACAAACTATTCTAGACCGGTCTAGTATAGTTTGACCGGTCAAATAATTTACACCATCAATGGAATTGAATCCCATGGAATTTCAATTCCAATTCAATTCTAATTCCGTCAATTCCACATACTAAATGGACCCTTAACCTCTTTGGTTGGAGAGAGAGGGAGGGGAGGGAAGAGAATTGAGTATGCCATTATATGGTTTAAAAAACATAAAGGAGAAGAGATCCAAAATTGCAGCTCTAATTCCTTTTCTTCTTCTTCTTCAGTTCTTCTCTTCAACTTAATCTTCTAAATGTGACGAAATCTCCTTCCCTCCTATCCTCTGATCTTCTTCCCCCCTCCTCCGTCAATTTTTTATTCACATTGTCATTGAAAAACAAAAAAATAATAAAAGAAATAAATGAGAAAATAATAAACAAAAATGAATAAATAAATAAATATTTCCTTCCAAAATTTCGTGCTTCATTCTAGCTACTTCTTTTTCATAATTTTGCATCGTCGCCCCCTCAGTCATTTAGTCATTTTTTGAGTGCTATTATGGTTAAACATTTTAATCTTTGACTGCATATTATGGAAAAAATTCATTAAATTTTCATATAAATATAATATCAATATATTCATGATGAAACAAAATTTGGAAATATTGTTATACAAAGAGCTAATGTATCTACCTCTGCTGGAGCTGGAATGTGAATGTACTTTCAATAAATTCTATGAAATGGATTTCCTGCCCTTCAAACCAAAGGATGAGTTCATTTCATCATTTAGGGTGGTTTATTCAATGAGAATTTTGATGGATTTTTTCGTATTTCAAAAGTCAGTGGATATACAATTCTGATTTTGAAAAATCATTTATAAAATCTGGAGGTCCTTCAACTTTATCAGTTGTCCACGATTGGTCCTTCAAGTTTTAAAAGTCCATAAGTAGTCCTTCAGGTACACGTCAGCCCTCCATATGAAGTCCTTTTGACAGTAAATATTAAAAGTTAAACGAAATACTAGTTTCATATAATACGAGTAAATTCCACTAGGTACGACTACTCCGTATTATATGGAGCTAGGATTCCATTTAGCTTTTAACATTTACTGTCAAAAGGACTTCATCTGAAGAGCTGACGTGTACTTGAAGGACTATTTATGCATTTTTAAAACTTGAAGGACCAATCATGCTTAACTCATAAAGTTGAAGGACTATTTATGGACTTTTAAAACTTGAAGGACCAATCGTGCACAATTGATAAAGTTGAAGGACCAATGGTGGAGTTTAGCCGTATAAAATATGAATTGTGATAGATTTTTAGGTTGGATTATAAATAAAAAAAAATCTATCATCCAAATCCGACCAAAGGCATTGGGATTTTAACTCTGCTTCTCCTCTTTTGCAACGCAGACCTGATTCATCTTCTCCGTCGTCACTACTTCACGGCTTCATTCCATCGTCTTCTACAACTCGTACAGTTTTGGATGCTCAATGGATTGAACCATTGAGTCTCTGCATCCCATCCACTGTGTGAATACATACATATACATACATACATACATACAACAACAACAACAAATGTGTACAAATACAAATATGCACTTCATAGAATAGAGAAAAGAAAATTATACTCCCTCCGTCCCTAAATAAAGTTCCTCTTTCATTTTTTCTTTGTCCCAAAATAAACTTCTCTTTTCCCTTAAAAAACCTCTTTTACCCCTTACTTTTTCATACCCTACCTATCACATCATACTTTTTTACTAATAATCTACCTATCACATCTTACTTTAACACATCACATCAAGGGCATTTTTGGAAAGTCAACACCAAAATATCCCTCCCTTAAATCCTCAAAAAGTCAAAAATGAAACTTTATTTAGGGACGGAAGGAGTATGTATATTTAACCAAATAAAGGAAAAGAAATAGTTTAGAAGTAAAACACAGAGAAAATACCAAGCCAGTTCGGTACACTTATCTCCAAGTACTCTTAGGCTCTGCGGTGGAGCTGAAGGGGGAGGGGGGTGGGGGACGATACGCAGTGAGAATAACACACGTGTGCGTGTGACCAGGGGGGACACCGCCCACTGGTGTGATCGGGATGCGCATAGTGGCCATCACAAATCACAACCACCACACATCCCCATTCCCTAATGACTTTTTAAAAAGAAAATTATTTTTTATCATTTCATTATTTAAACACGCCCCCTTCTTAAAATTTACACTTTCTTTCTACATCTTTGATATACAAATCATTATCATCTCCTTAATTTTTAAATCTTTCAACGGAACCATCATATCTGTAATTCCTAAAGTAGCAAAGACAGCGTTTTAAAAATTCTCAATAAGTTCTAAGAACGGACGACCCGACTCTTGCCTTAGAGAACAATTTTGAGAGGGTTTCAGAAACGCAACCTTCTCGAAAATTGAAAGGGATGACCGTGCGCCAATATAGTTTATCGAGTTAGGGGACCAAACAACCGTGGACGCTGATAGAGGAGAAAGCCTTGGCCCAGACATGCAGGCCCGCCCAATGGGGAGTGCAAGAGGTGCTCTTGCACAGGGCCTCCAAAATGATGAGGCCCATGCCATTATAATTAAATTAAAAGCCCATGAGTTTATCTCAAGTCAATTAAGTACTCTGTAACACTCATGTTTAAGACTCTTTCTTCTACCTTCCTTGTTCTTCAACCGGGCTCTTCGGTTCCTTCTCCATCTTGTGTCAATTGTGTTTGATTTTTCATTCATAGACTGCATCTTTAATAATTTTTTATTTTCAGTTCTTTAAGAACTAATCTATTTTGTTTTTTCTGTTTTTTCATCTTCAATTTGTTTTAAAATTGATCTTTTTTTTCATTTCTAAATTCAGTTTTAAGAACTTAATTCAGTTTTAAAAATCCAATTTACATTGATTTTTAATTATTAATGAATTATTTTTTATTTTGTTTCTTCAATTCTAAAAGTGATTCTACTTGCAAGTTAACTTTTTTTTTGACAAAAGCAAATTCTAAAGAAAAAGTTATTATTCAAACTACTTGCATTGCGACATGTGGAATGCTTAGGTTTTATCACTCCAGTGATGAAAAGACTTGAAGTTTATTACTCCGTATATTATTTTTAATGGAACCACCAATATTGATATTTTTGCATTGTCACAACTTTTATTTTAACTTAAAAAGTTTAGAGCCAAAAGTACTAAATAGCACATGGTGTTTGGGCGGGCCTGTGGACATGGATACGTTTCACTTGCAACAATTAAGAAACATTTAACTGTTTTAATTCTAGTGGCTATTTTGATTAGCTGACTCCCAAACACTCCAGAATAGCCTTTGGCCTCTAGTCTAGTCAAATAGGTAAAGTAATTGCAATAGTCAGTCAAGATTTGGCCGAACAAATAGGAAAGAGAAACCGAAAATGCTAGGGTGCCACCACATGGGTGCACCCATGCTTCGCACAAACAAACACATACCGATAATTGTCTGTGCTATACATACAATTATCGTCTGTGTTCTGCGAAGCATGACTTAGGCTCCGTTCCGTTCAACTCATTTTTTCTGATCTGATCTGATTCTAATAAGTTCTGATCTGGTCTGATCTGATCTGATCTGATCTGATTGGATCTGATCTGATCTGATTGGATCTGATCTGATCTGATTAGATCTGATCTGATTAGATCTGATTGGATCTGATCTGATCTGGTCTGATCTGATTAATTATGATTTAATTTAAAATTTCAAATCAATAATTTAATTTGACTTTATAATAACGTTTGAAAATTGTAATGATAATTAATATTATAATATAATCAATATTTTTTATTTAATGATTATTTTTTAATAAAATAAAAATAGTTAATTCATATATTAGAATAATCATTCATATTATAATGTAATAATATTTTTTATTTTATGATATTTTTTTTGTAAAATTAGAATTATACATTAGAATAAATATTTAATTTAGATATACATTTAAAAGTAATTAAATTTAGATAATCAATATATAGAAGAGATAGTATTTTTATTAAAATATCTCATCCTTATAAAAGATCAAAAGTTTAGAACTCAAATTACAAGTAGCAATAAAAATATATTTTAAAAGTAGAATTAGATTGACATTGTCAATGTATTTTAAAATTAATTTTTCCGACGTCTAATAATTAAGG